CACACATTCAGATAGAACCAGATTTTTATGATTGATTTAAAATGACGGTTGCTCAAAAACATACGCGCAAACTCTATAACAAATGGGCCCGTGGAACCAAATGTATATCTGCAGCCAAACTCAGAGACGTTTTTTTTTTAAAAAAGAAAATGTTTTTTAAATTTTTTTTTCAACAAAACGTTTTTTAACAAAAGGTTTTTTTAACAAAACCAGCGTTAATCTCACCGTTTTTGAGCGGCTCTGGGTTGTTGACATTACCAAAAAAAAAGTTAGCTGAAAAAAAAAACGAATTTCGAGGTATTATGCATCAAAATTAATTAGTTGCTAGGTTTCTCCATATATTTATCTCTATTTGGAGAAACTAAAATAACAGTTTATCGAGGGAGTTTATCAAGGGAGGAGTGGATTTTAGAGAAACTTTTGAAAATTAAGTAAGAGTAATTATACGAGCTCTTCCAAAACTTCCAAAACAATTCAGACAACATTTTGAGTTAGGACCGATGTGGTTAACTCTTAGAGTAATTTCTGATAGGGTACACCGTCTGCTCGTCACGCTATCTTATTTTCGGCCGGATAGATTCGTGCAACTCCTTAGTCTAATACCGATCCTAATCTTACTCTTATACTTACTAGTCTCAGGGTGTTTAACTAGTCTCTGCTCAATAGATCTAGGGTATACTGGTTTATTGCGGCTGCTGAAGTTCTCTTGGAGAGGCAACTAATTTCTAAGTTAAATTCAAATCTCTCTAGTGCTGAAATTACAAGTAATTTCAGCACTTACCAATAAGTGGGTTGTTAGTTAGATGGATTATGATTGGTTAATATTAAATATTTTACAGTGGTAAAATATCCAATTTATCCAATTAAAAAATGTAGTTTAGATCAGGTTCCAATTTTGTCAAATTCTGCGTTGCAGCTAACTGTTTTTGAAAAATTGAGCAAATTCACGTTTTTGACTAGTTTTTACGGTTTACACCAAAAAGAAGCTTTTTTTGGCGCGAGCTCTATTCTCCAATTTAGATAAATATTGGCACTGAAACTGGCTTTAGAAAAAGTGAGGGATGATAATCTAAAAAATGATAGTTTTACCCCGATCAAAAGCAAAATTATTGAATTTAAATAAACACTTTCCTTTCGCATTGTTTCCCCATTTTTTTTTTTGCTCAATCGAGGTTCATTCACTAATCAACCAATTGTACGAAAGGTTCAAATAAGAGAAATATTTTGAAATCCAAACTTTTGTGTTTTTTTTGTTTTTGTTTATGATGTGCTTAAGTGTTATAAACTTTGGTGATAAAAAACTTATCATTATGCTAACATGGGTTTTGAGACCATACCGGGCCCGTTTGCTGTCCTCTCGGGGTTAAATAAAAATTTATTTTGTATAAATAAATGTTGAATTTGTTTTAATTCTTGAGAAATATATTTTTTTGTTACCATAAAAAGGACCTTTTAGGAAATCAAAAGCCTTTAAAGTGCAAGTCACGTAGTGGCATCTTTGATAACAGATACCTGCACTTCGACAAAGTAATCAGGAAATTACTGTGAAAATAGCAATATCCCAGTAATTTTATTAAGAAAAAACCAAGCACGCCTCTAACATTTTGAATATTTTTAAAGAACACATTATGTCAAGTTGCCATTTGTGAGAGTGTCAAAATTGGTTAATTATCAAGAATTGTTTTCAATAATGCTATCTATTTCAAGTTCAAACTTAATTATTAAACGAATTTTTAAAACTGAAATCTAGTCTGAATTATTTTAATGCGGAGAGCTCAAATTTGACAAAAAAATTTTGCCTTGTATACTTTTTACAAAGATATGAGTGAAAGTTTGACAATTGTAAACTTGGCTTTTTTATGATTTTTAACGCTACCTTATTGAGCCATCTTGCCCAAAATTTCATGGATAATAATTATTTCTTAGTTTTTCTATGCTTCCATTGTCAGTCTCCACAAAAATCAAAAATAATTGGTTATATGCGCTTGAAAATGAAAAAAAAAATCAAATGTAAAAAATCACTTGCTTTCGCGGTAACTGATTAGCAAACTAAATTAGTATTTGACTATTCTGTCAGCCCAGCTTTTTCGAGATAAAAGACAGTCCGCACTAGAGTTTCATGGAAAATAATCAATGATAATTGATTGTATCGGCAAAAAACCTATACTTAACCCATACAATCAATTTTCATGGCCCATCTAACCATGGGAATGGATTTTTAGGGGATTTTAATCGACTAATTACAATATTCACAAATCCATTATAGTCTATTATAATTGATTATGATCCATTTTAAATTACAATATAATTGATTTTTGTAAACATAAATTCCAGGAAAATTAATTAATTTTTGCAAATGTGAAATAATACTCTATTTTTTCCAACCCCCCCCCCCCACCAACCATACTCCAATCCATACAACCATAACCAAAACATATCTAACCAAACCATACAAGGAAATCGCTGGAAAATTATTTGTGGCCTGATGAGAAGAAACTTAGAAGCAGTCAGTTCATCACTTATAACGTTTCAGCCTGCTGTTCCACACTGTTCCAGTCAAGTTATTGCTACTGCGGCAGAACGTTCTCCACTAAGAACTTATAGGGCAATATTAGCATGAGCAACATTTTTGAAAATTTGGATACCACACTTTTTTTTGCTATAGATGCAGAAGCAACTGCAGAGACCAAGCGACAACTTATTCACGACACCCAGAGAATGATTTTCACTCGCAGCTAAACCTTCTTCCACAAAAGAATGCGGAGCTTTAACAGGCGATTTTTATTTTTGATATTTAAAAACTAATAATTTTGATCGGGATGATTTATTTGACGACATTAATGCGAGGTTAGTTCACAGTCTAGTCAAATGTCATCAGCGGTCTCTTGGCCTCTTGCAGAACTATTCGGCGGCGGGTGTGGCTTCTGTAGTGGCCCCCTCCCCTCCCTCCTCGTCCCCGCCCCCCTCCTCATTGGCTGCTGCCTCGTCCAATCGCCGCTGTTCATAAATCTCCTCCGCCTCTTGCCTGTAACAGAAATGATTTTTACCCCTGCCATCTTTATTTCTTCATCTGCCTATTATTTCAAAAAAGAGAAATGTACGAAACCAGTGGCGCGCTCACGACATTCGAGACGAGGAGCGGACGGTTTTTTTGAAAAAATTGTTTATAAAATTTTAGGTGAGCCATTATCTTTAGGCCGGGACCATCTCAAGGCGCTCTACTGTACAAATTAATAATCCCAGAAAAAAACTTCTAAATCTTGGTTCCTTTTCCAGCTCTTGCCAGTAGCGCGCCGAGAGAGAGCAACTACCTCCCCCCCCCCCTCAGTTATGGGTCCCCCATTCGGTATAATTTTACGACATCCATATCTGGCTGACGAACATCAAATTTTTTCTAAAGGGCTCTCCGGCGCCTATATAACTAATATCGAGGGGAGCGCGCTCCAAAAAAAACGTTATTTTTTGGTCAAAATTTTCCAAAAAGTGCTTCAAAACGCCTTTTTTGGCCTGTTTTTTTTTAAATTCGAAAACCGCCCCCTAAGAAAAATTTCTGCGCACACCACTGTCTCTGGCATATATCTGGGCTCTTTTTCTTTTTCCCCCCACCTGCAATTTTTATAATCAAAATTAATGTTCACATTGTCCGATTGTCATGAAAATTGACATGCAGACTAATTAGGCCATGACAAACATATTTGGCATAATGAACCTAGTAAAACCACTCGTTAGACTATAAAATTGATGCTCGTGTGAGGTGGGGAGGGGAAGCAAAAAGAGTCAATTTTATCTGAACCCAGATAATTAATCAAGGAAGCTTACCAATAAATCTTTTTAAAATTATATTTATTTAATTTAATGAGAAATTATGTTCGTTTTTTTTATTTACCAGAACTCATTGATTTGTATGAGAAACAAGCCTGTTTAAGTTTAAACAGTTCTTGCATTTTTTTGACATTCTTTTATGAAAAAAGAATAAGAACTCTTTTCAGTCACACACCACCAATTTTGGATGCAAAAAGCGGAGACACTAACAAACCTATCTCTGAGTCCAGGGGTGCATTTAGGGGAGGGGCGGACGCCTTCACTCTTCAGGGATTTGACCCCCTCACCAACCAAAAGGTCCTCCTTTGTTATTATTTTATGACATCCATTCTCGGCCGACCAACCCTAAAGTTTTTGCCTGTTTTCTCTAATGGTTCCCTTATTTTCCACAATTTTCCCTATTTCGCCCAAATAACTCGATTTTTTGGTCAAAATTTTCCAAAAAAAACTGCCGGAAAACGGCATTTTTAACCTGTTTTGTCAAAAAAAAGTTTGTCAAAAAGGTCTTTTCAGTGCTCTGGGAGCGCTCGGAAAAGCAATTTGGGCGACCTAGAAAATCGACATAATTTTGAAAGTTGACGCCCCACCCCTCGAGATAATTCTAGATCCGCCCCCTGTCCGAGTCTCTACTGAGTATTAAATATGCAAAAATTAACCTTTCTTCATCGGTGTAGACATCCTTAACCAATCTTTCAATCCTCCTCAAAGTGATGAGGACTTCGATTCTGTAATCATCTTCGTCGCTAACTGGACATTCGGCCATCACAATTGCTCTCAAAAAAGGCAACACTTTCAGTTTGTTCAGCTCCTTTTTATTCGCAAGTTGATTTCCTCGGATGTTCAAATACTGGAGCGACCTCATTTTTTCACTGAATCCGTCTAAGTTGTCGACCTGGTTGTCTCGCATGTGCAACATTTCCAGACTTTCCAGTTTTTCCAAGTCTTCTAAGAATTTGATTTTATTTTGAGCAAGGAAAAGGTTCTTCAAAGTGGGAATAACTAGACCTTTGGTGCTTGTAAGAGCGTTGCTTCTTAGTTCCAGTGTATGAAGTCTTGTCAATCGTCCTGGCTCGAGGTGGGCGATTTCTTTGATCGAATTCCAAGACAGAATCAGCGTTTCTAGAAGTGGGTGATAGATGCCTTCTGTCGTTTTGATTCTGTTGTCGGAGAAGTTGGCTTGTTGAAGGTACGGCAGCTCCTCAAGAGCAGCAGACTTCAGGATGTTTTTCTCTGCTTTCAAGGTCAACAAGTGAGTCAGTCCACTCAGGCAGGAGATGTCTTTGATGCTGTTCACAGACATGTCAATGTATCGCAGATGGATGAAGGCGCTCAGCAGATTGATGTCTGTCAGTTCCTTGTCTCGGATGTCTAGTCGCACGAATGCGTGGGAGAGGCCTGTGCCAGTCTTACACAGCAGCGATATGCCTTCATTGATATCGGCCTGAAATTCATTTTTAGGTTTTAAAATTTCAAAATCACTATATGCAAAAAAAAAACAAATTTAAGCTGTCACAATTTGTTTTTTTTTTTTTTCAATTTTTTTAAAACATTTATTTTGCGCCCGGCTGGTAGTTTATTATAATGCTTTAAAAATTGAAAGCTTCGAAACATAAGTCAAAATCGTTTAGCCGGTTGTAATTTTTGGTTATCTCGAAATAGACTCCTTTCGATGCTAATTAAATCGGATAAATTAAAACAGTTCAATTTAAATGAAATTCTTTCAAATTGTGTTGAATAAAATGTCTCGCAACATTTGAGCAGTTCAGTTTCTATGCTTGCCTGTGTGAGTAGTTTTGGGGGGATGTGTTCGTCCTCCTCCACCTCCTCGGGGTCTTCCACTTCGGGGTCAATCTCATCCCCCTCCCCCTCCCCTTTCTCTTTCTCCTCCCCCTCTCCTCCTTCGCCCTCCTCCCCTTCTTCCTGAAACGAACAGTAAATAAAAGTAAACCAAGAAAAAGTAAAGTAAGGAATCTGTAAAAACTACATTTCGACTCATGCAAGAATGAAACAACTGAATGTTTTTCCGTGTGTTATTATATCCTTGGTAGTTCTATTCATATTGGATAGTAGCAACTCTTGATTAAGGTCACTGAAAATTCTCAAACACCAACTAAAATAGTGCAACGTGTCAATGTGTTTTTCTTTGTTGAAGACATTTTATCCACAGGCCATATAATCCAGAGCTCCAATTCAAAGTCACAGATGCGAAAATCTTTTCCATCACTCATTCCTAAGGAGGCTAGTTAATTGTGGAAAGAGGCACAAACACAGGGTTCAACAAAGCAGTTTTATAAGTTAACTAATTAGCTATAGTCAAAATAATGTCAGTCGTAGAGTCAGATTGGGAGCTCACTCTTTCTCCCCAAGGCTATTTTAGTCAGAAAACCGACCGGTAAAACTAAAAACAGTTTTTCTCGACATCGATTCATTTTTGTTAATTTTTTGGAATCCAAACTGTATCTTCAAAAGCTTCATATGATTTATTGTTCGTTACCACCTGGACTGTTATTTAGAGCACCCGATTTTGCCTACAAAATACTCCCTACGTCACACTTTTTTCCAACTCACTTCGTAAAGTGTTCACAACTATTAATTTGAAGGTTCGCGACCACTGGCGGGCGCAAGACTTTTTTTGTGGCCCTAAGGTGGTTGTTCGAAAAAATAAGTTTTAGTTGGACCAACTTGATATTCCACGCTCCACTAAATCACTAATAACAGCCAATTTTGCCCAAAAGTGTCTCGCCACACTACTGTAGCCAACATACCCGTTGTTCGTTTCCCTCCTCCTCCTGCTGCTGCTGTTCTACTTCTTCATTCTCCCCCTCCCCTTCCAAACCATCTTCTGATAACATTAACATAAACAGTTACTTCTTCATCAAAACTACGGAGGACAGGAAAGAAAAATAGAAGCTTATTCTTATTCATAGTTTGCATAAATGACCTACAGGGAATGAACCAAACTTTGTACTGTAGTGGAATAGTTTCCTTTTTTGACATGAGTTAATGTGACAAAGCACACCAAATAAAAAACACTAAAGCATCGATAGAAACATCGATCAGCTGTGGAGGTCAACCCGGGTCAGCTGAAACAATATTATTTTGAATTTTTTTCTAATTTAATTAAGCAAAATCCTTCAACTGTCAATGAAGGGGCAGAAATTCCACAAAGGCAGTTTTTGGTCTTCTTGAAGATTTTGGCTTGCTAAAAACAGTTTTTAATTAGCAAAAGGATGTCGTAAAATAGTACCAAACGGGGTTGCTCCTTTGACTGGCTCAGCATGGGTTTAAAATTAAGCCATTCGGCCGTTCTTAAATTAATTCATTTTACGTGTGGGATGAGAAACTGGAACACAACCCAAAGTTTTAATTAAATGAAAATTGACTTGCAGACTAATTAGACAATGGCAAACATATTTGATCTTCATAATGAACCTTGTAAAACCACCCCTTAGACCATAAAGTTGATGCTTGTGTGAGGTGGGGGGGGGGAGAGGAAAAAGAGCCGCGTGATGTTTTGATGTAATAGATATACATAACGAATCTGTTTGTTCCCATGCCAAGTTTCATTGCATTATGACAATGTTAAAATAGTTTTTCAAAATTTTATTTCAAAAATGAGAGTGGAAAAGAGTATTAAGTATAGTCCCCAAAAGTCCCTCCCACCACCAATTGTGCAAAAAAATCTTCAAAAGTAGGCTACCAATTGTACAAAAGAAGTCTTCACTACGTTCAATAATCTCAAACACTAACTATATCAAGGTGAAACAACGCATCTGATTGGATATATAGCATTAACCTACCTGAAAAAATTTTCAGAGTTGTGCAAAAAATTGAAATTGAACTTAATTGGTCTCAAACATTTTTGTTTGTTTGTTACCATCAAAAAGCTTGATTTTGTTATATTTAAATTATGTGAACTAAGATTTACTGCCCACTCTTATTAAAGTTTTTGCCTTTTCGAGTGAAGTTATTCCAAAGTTTCTATACTGAATATGTATGATTTCGCATACCCTAGCACACACATTCAGATAGAACCAGATTTTATGATTGATTTAAAATGACGGTTGCTCAAAAACATACGCGCAAACTCTATAACAAATGGGCCCGTGGAACCAAATGTATATCTGCAGCCAAACTCAGAGACGTTTTTTTTTTCAAAAAAGAAAATGTTTTTTAAATTTTTTTTTCAACAAAACGTTTTTTAACAAAAGGTTTTTTAACAAAACCAGCGTTAATCTCACCGTTTTTGAGCGGCTCTGGGTTGTTGACATTACCAAAAAAAGTTAGCTGAAAAAAAAAACGAATTTCGAGGTATTATGCATCAAAATTAATTAGTTGCTAGGTTTCTCCATATATTTATCTCTATTTGGAGAAACTAAAATAACAGTTTATCGAGGGAGTTTATCAAGGGAGGAGTGGATTTTAGAGAAACTTTTGAAAATTAAGTAAGAGTAATTATACGAGCTCTTCCAAAACTTCCAAAACAATTCAGACAACATTTTGAGTTAGGACCGATGTGGTTAACTCTTAGAGTAATTTCTGATAGGGTACACCGTCTGCTCGTCACGCTATCTTATTTTCGGCCGGATAGATTCGTGCAACTCCTTAGTCTAATACCGATCCTAATCTTACTCTTATACTTACTAGTCTCAGGGTGTTTAACTAGTCTCTGCTCAATAGATCTAGGGTATACTGGTTTATTGCGGCTGCTGAAGTTCTCTTGGAGAGGCAACTAATTTCTAAGTTAAATTCAAATCTCTCTAGTGCTGAAATTACAAGTAATTTCAGCACTTACCAATAAGTGGGTTGTTAGTTAGATGGATTATGATTGGTTAATATTAAATATTTTACAGTGGTAAAATATCCAATTTATCCAATTAAAAAATGTAGTTTAGATCAGGTTCCAATTTTGTCAAATTCTGCGTTGCAGCTAACTGTTTTTGAAAAATTGAGCAAATTCACGTTTTTGACTAGTTTTTACGGTTTACACCAAAAAGAAGCTTTTTTTGGCGCGAGCTCTATTCTCCAATTTAGATAAATATTGGCACTGAAACTGGCTTTAGAAAAAGTGAGGGATGATAATCTAAAAAATGATAGTTTTACCCCGATCAAAAGCAAAATTATTGAATTTAAATAAACACTTTCCTTTCGCATTGTTTCCCCATTTTTTTTTTGCTCAATCGAGGTTCATTCACTAATCAACCAATTGTACGAAAGGTTCAAATAAGAGAAATATTTTGAAATCCAAACTTTTGTGTTTTTTTTGTTTTTGTTTATGATGTGCTTAAGTGTTATAAACTTTGGTGATAAAAAACTTATCATTATGCTAACATGGGTTTTGAGACCATACCGGGCCCGTTTGCTGTCCTCTCGGGGTTAAATAAAAATTGATTTTGTATAAATAAATGTTGAATTTGTTTTAATTCTTGAGAAATATATTTTTTTGTTACCATAAAAAGGACCTTTTAGGAAATCAAAAGCCTTTAAAGTGCAAGTCACGTAGTGGCATCTTTGATAACAGATACCTGCACTTCGACAAAGTAATCAGGAAATTACTGTGAAAATAGCAATATCCCAGTAATTTTATTAAGAAAAAACCAAGCACGCCTCTAACATTTTGAATATTTTTAAAGAACACATTATGTCAAGTTGCCATTTGTGAGAGTGTCAAAATTGGTTAATTATCAAGAATTGTTTTCAATAATGCTATCTATTTCAAGTTCAAACTTAATTATTAAACGAATTTTTAAAACTGAAATCTAGTCTGAATTATTTTAATGCGGAGAGCTCAAATTTGACAAAAAAATTTTGCCTTGTATACTTTTTACAAAGATATGAGTGAAAGTTTGACAATTGTAAACTTGGCTTTTTTATGATTTTTAACGCTACCTTATTGAGCCATCTTGCCCAAAATTTCATGGATAATAATTATTTCTTAGTTTTTCTATGCTTCCATTGTCAGTCTCCACAAAAATCAAAAATAATTGGTTATATGCGCTTGAAAATGAAAAAAAAAATCAAATGTAAAAAATCACTTGCTTTCGCGGTAACTGATTAGCAAACTAAATTAGTATTTGACTATTCTGTCAGCCCAGCTTTTTCGAGATAAAAGACAGTCCGCACTAGAGTTTCATGGAAAATAATCAATGATAATTGATTGTATCGGCAAAAAACCTATACTTAACCCATACAATCAATTTTCATGGCCCATCTAACCTTGGGAATGGATTTTTAGGGGATTTTAATCGACTAATTACAATATTCACAAATCCATTATAGTCTATTATAATTGATTATGATCCATTTTAAATTACAATATAATTGATTTTTGTAAACATAAATTCCAGGAAAATTAATTAATTTTTGCAAATGTGAAATAATACTCTATTTTTTCCAACCCCCCCCCCCACCAACCATACTCCAATCCATACAACCATAACCAAAACATATCTAACCAAACCATACAAGGAAATCGCTGGAAAATTATTTGTGGCCTGATGAGAAGAAACTTAGAAGCAGTCAGTTCATCACTTATAACGTTTCAGCCTGCTGTTCCACACTGTTCCAGTCAAGTTATTGCTACTGCGGCAGAACGTTCTCCACTAAGAACTTATAGGGCAATATTAGCATGAGCAACATTTTTGAAAATTTGGATACCACACTTTTTTTTGCTATAGATGCAGAAGCAACTGCAGAGACCAAGCGACAACTTATTCACGACACCCAGAGAATGATTTTCACTCGCAGCTAAACCTTCTTCCACAAAAGAATGCGGAGCTTTAACAGGCGATTTTTATTTTTGATATTTAAAAACTAATAATTTTGATCGGGATGATTTATTTGACGACATTAATGCGAGGTTAGTTCACAGTCTAGTCAAATGTCATCAGCGGTCTCTTGGCCTCTTGCAGAACTATTCGGCGGCGGGTGTGGCTTCTGTAGTGGCCCCCTCCCCTCCCTCCTCGTCCCCGCCCCCCTCCTCATTGGCTGCTGCCTCGTCCAATCGTCGCTGTTCATAAATCTCCTCCGCCTCTTGCCTGTAACAGAAATGACTTTTTACCCCTGTCATCTTAATTTCTTCATCTGCCTACTATTTCAAAAAAGAGAAATGTACGAAACCAGTGGCGTGCGCACGGCAATCGAAACGAGGGGCGGACGGTTTTTTTGAAAAAAATCGTTTATATTTTTTTAGGTTAGCCATTATCTTTAGGCGGGGACCATCTCAAGGCACTTTCCTAAACAAAATTAACAATCCCAGAAAAACAACTAATAAAGCTCACACGAGCATAAAATTTATAGTCTAACTAGTAGTTTTACAAGGTTGACTATGAAGACCAAAAGATGTTTTTGTCATGGCCTCATTAGTCTGCATGTCAATTTTCATGACAATCAGACAATGTGAACATTAATTTTAATTATAAAAACTTGCAGGTGGGGGGAAAGGAAAAAGAGCCCCTTTTCCCTTGCCAGTAGCGCGCCGAGAGAGAACAACTACCTTCCCCCCTCTCAGTTCTGGGTCCCCCATTTGGTATAATTTTACGACATCCAAAATTTTCTCAAGGACTCTCCGGCGCCTATATAACTAATATTGAGGGGGGAGCGCGCTCCCAAAAAAACGTAATTTTTTTGGTCAAAAACTTCCAAAAAGTGCTTAAAAACGTCTTTTTTGGCCTGTTTTTTTTCTAAACATTCGAAAACCGCCCCCTTAGAAAAATTTCTGGGCACACCATTGTCCCTGGCAAAAATCTGGGCTCTTTTTCCTTTTCCCCCACCTGCAATTTTTTATAATTAAAATTACTGTTCACATTGTCCGATTGTCATGAAAATAGGTCATGAAAAAGCAGACTAATTAGGTCATGACAAACATATTTGGTCTTCATAATCAACTTTGTAAAACTACTCGTTAGATTATAAAATTGATGCTCGTGTGAGGTGGGGGGGGGGGGGGGGGGGGGAGGAAAAATAGTCAATATCTGAACCAGGGGCGGATCTAGGATTTTCTCGAGGGTGGGGGGCGGATTTTGACCTTTTTTAGGTCGACCAAATTGATTTTGTGAGCTCTCCCAAACCACTATAAAGACCATAATTTGACCAAATTTTTGGCGCCGCAGACAAATTTTACAAAAAAAAGGCGTTTTTAAGCACTTTTTGGAAAACTTCGACCGAAAAATCGCGTTTTTTTGGCGCGCGCTCCCGCCTCAAAATTAGTATAGGTTGGCGCCAAAGGCGCCTTTAGAAAATTTTTAGGGTCCGTCACCAAAAATGGATATTTCAAAATAGTGCAAAGGGGGGCTCGGCTCTTTTTCCTTTTTCCCCCACCTCACTCAAACATGAACTTTATGGTCTAACGAGTGGTTTTACAAGGTTAATTATGAAGACCAAATATGCTTGTTATAGCCTAATTAGTCTGCATGCCAATTTTCACGACACTCGGAAAAAGTGAACGGAAATTTCAAATATGAAATTTTGCAGGGTGGGGGGAAAAGGAAAAAAAACCGAAAAAAGAATAGCTCTTTTCAGCCACACACCACCAATTTTGGATGCAAAAAGCGGAGACGCTAACAAACCTATTCCACCCCCTCGCCAAGCAAAGGGTCCCCCTTTAGTATTATTTTATGACATCCATTCTCGGCCGACCAACCCTAAAATTTTTGCCAAATTTCTCTAATTTTTCCCTTATTTTCCACAATTTTCCTTATTTTGCCCAAATAACTCGATTTTTTGCTCACAATTTTCCAAAAAATGCCCGAAAACGGCATTTTTAACCTGTTTTGTCAAAAAAAGTTTTGTCAAAAAGGTCTTTTCAGTGCTCTGGGAGCGCTCGGAAATTGAATTTGAGCGACCTAGAAAAAATCGTCAACATATTTGAAAATCGCCCCCCACCCCTCGAGAAAATCTTAGATCCGCCCCTGTCCGAGTCTCTTAATGAGTGTTAAATATGCAAAAATTAACCTTTCTTCATCGGTGTAGACATCCTTGTCCAATCTTTCAATCCTCCTCAAAGTGATGAGGACTTCGATTCTGTAATCATCTTCGTCGCTAACTGGACATTCTGCCATCACAATTGCTCTCAAAAAAGGCAACACTTTCAGTTTGTTCAGCTCCTTTTTATTCGCAAGTTGATTTCCTCGGATGTTCAAATACTGGAGCGACCTCATTTTTTCACTGAATCCGTCTAAGTTGTCGACCTGGTTGTCTCGCATGTGTAACATTTGCAGACTTTCCAGTTTGTCCAAATCTTCCAAAAATTTGATTTTATTTTGAGCAAGGAAAAGGTTCTTCAAAGTGGGAATAACTAGACCTTTGGTGCTGGTAAGAGCGTTGCTTCTTAGTTCCAGTGTATGAAGTCTTGTCAATCGTCCTGGCTCGAGGTGGGTAATTTCTTTGATCGAATTCCAAGACAGAATCAGCGTTTCTAGAAGTGGGTGATAGATGCCTTCTGTCGTTTTGATTCTGTTGTGGGAGAAGTTGGCTTGTTGAAGGTACGGCAGCTCCTCAAGAGCAGCAGACTTCAGGATGTTTTTCTCTGCTTTCAAGGTCAACAAATGAGTCAGTCCACTCAAGCAGGAGATGTCTTTGATGCTGTTCACAGACATGTCAATGTATCGCAGATGGATGAAGGCGCTCAGCAGATTGATGTCTGTCAGTTCCTTGTCTCGGATGTCTAGTCGCACGAATGCGTGGGAGAGGCCTGTGCCAGTCTTACACAGCAGCGATATGCCTTCATTGATATCGGCCTAAAATTCATTTTCACTTTTAAAAACTCAATTTCCGCGGCAGAGGCAAAAAGATCAAATAGAAGCTCATTATGACGTATTCTTAATATCCAATATGTTTTTTTTTCTCCGTTTTTTTAATATAAATTGCTCCTGTCGATGCTAATTAAATCGGAGAAAATAAAACAGTTCTAAGTAAAAGAAATTCTTTCAAATTGGGTTGAATAAAATGTCTCGCAACATTTCAGCAGTTCAGTTTCTATGCTAGCCTGTGTGAGTAGTTTTGGGGGGATGTGTTCGTCCTCCTCCACCTCCTCGGGGTCTTCCACTTCGGGGTCAATCTCATCCCCCTCCCCCTCGCCTTTCTCTTTCTCCTCCCCCTCCCCTCCTTCGCCCTCCTCCCCTTCTTCCTGAAACGAACAGTAAATAAAAGTAAACCAAGAAAAAGTAAAGTAAGGAATCAGTAAAAGCTAAATTTCGACTCATGCAAGAATGAAACAACTGAATGTTTTTCGTGTGTTATTATATCCTTGGTAGTTCTATTCTAATTGGATAGTAGCAACTCTTGATTAAGGTCACTGAAAGTTCTCAAAGACCAACTAAAATAGTGCAACGTGTCAGTGTGTTTTTCTTTGTTGAAGACATTTTATCCACAGGCCATTACACTCCACATAATCCAGAGCTCCAATTCAAAGTCACAGATGCGAAAATCTTTTCCATCACTCATTCCTAAGGGGGGCTAGTTAATTGTGGAAAGAGGCACAAACACAGGGTTGAACAAAGCAGTTTTATAAGTTAACAAGTTTGCTATAGTCAACATAATGTCAGTCGTAGAGTCAGATTGGGAGCTCACTCTTTCTCCCCAAGATTATTTTTAGTCTGAAAACCGACCGGTAAAACTTAAAACAGTTTTTCTCGACATCGACTCTCTTTTTGTTAATTTTTAGAAATCCAAACTGTATCTTCACTTCAATAGCTTCATTATGATTTATTGTTCGTTACCATCTGGACTGTTATTTAAAGCACCCACTATTGCCTACAAAATACTCCTTAAGCCACAACTTTTTCCAAATCACTTCGTAAAGTGTTCGCAACTATTAATTTGAAGGTTCGTGACCACTGGCGGGCGCAAGATTTTTTTTGTGTCCCTGGGGTGGTTGTTCGAAATAATAAGTTTTAGTTGGACCAACTCGATATTCCACGCTCCCCTAAATCACTAATAACAGCCAATTTTGCCCAAAAGTGTCTCGCCACACTACTGTAGCCAACATACCCGTTGTTCGTTTCCCTCCTCCTGCTGCTGCTGCTGTTCTACTTCTTCATTCTCCCCCTCCCCTTCCAAACCATCTTCTGATAACATTAACATAAAGAGTTACTTCTTCATCGAAACTACGGAGGACAGGAAAGAAAAATAGAAGCTTATTCTTATTCATAGTTTGCATAAAGGACCTGCAGGGAATGAACAAAACATTGTACTTAAGTGGAATATTTTCTTTTTTTGACATGGGTTAATGTGACAAAGCATACCAAACAAAAAACACTAAAACATCGATCACTTGTGGAGATCAACCCGGGTCAGCTGAAACATCATTTTTTTGATTTTTCTTTCTTATTTAATTGAAAAAAAAGTTCTTCAACTGTCAATGAAGGGACAGAAAATCCAAACGTTTTTTTCACTTTCTTGTAGGTTTTGGCTTGCTAAAAACAATTCGTAATTAGCAAAAGGATGTCGTAATTAGTACCAAACGGGGTTGCTCCTTTGACTGGTTCAGCATGGGTTTAAAGTTAAGCCACTCTGCCGTTCTTAAAATAATTGATTTTACGAGTGGGTTGACAAACTGGAACAGAGCCCAAAGTTCCGGGAAAATTTAGAAATGTCGGCTCTTTTCCAGTTTCCCACCCCCCTCGTAAAATCACAAAATAAAACTGTTCAAAAAATGTTCACACTGCATTTTGCATCTAAGAAATGTTGTTTACCTGTTCACGCTGACACGTTTTAACGCAGTTTATAACATGAAAAGTCAAATTAAATAGACATTCATACATTGAATTTCAGAAAAAAGGGGGGAACTAGAAAAGAGCCGAAGTGTCCCCTTACCAACTGCTTCCTGGGCTGCAGCAGTGTCGTCCTCGTCAGACATTTTACAATGCAAGTAAAATTAATAAAATTATTCCTCTGTAACTTTAAGCTAGCACAGTGTACTTTGAATAGTACTAAATTGTGTGTACAAGTATACGCTTCAACGTTAGTTTTGTTTCAGTTTTTTTTCTACACGTGCTTCTGAAACTTTCATGCACGAATTCTAATCAGTCGCTGTATGTTAAAAATGCTACTAAACTATCTTTTTTTATTATTATATTAAACAACTGTACAGATCTTTTGAATAATTTTCCTCCAACTAAATTCCACAAATGCAATCCACAAATACCATTCTTGGAAGAAGTATCAGTTTAGATGTACCTAATGAACTTTGTTTTGAAATTACTTAGCATGAAGATGTTGCGGTTAATGCGAAACTTAGCTACATTAAAAAATAAAAACAAAATGCCATGCTAGACGTTTCCATTCGAGACAACTCATTAAATTAACCTTTAAAAAAAGGGCAACCCAAAATTAAAAAAAAAACAAGATGCCGAGTTCACTTCCAAAGACCAAAAATTTAAATTGTAGAATTCCAATGCAAAAATCCATTTCATAAAAACTTCATACAATTTCGCAAAATGAGATATTTGAACTACAATTTTTTTTAACTTGGCTTCCAGAAAAATTAATCATCGATTGACGCAGTTATAACTATAATTGAAGAAATAGGAACGACTAGATCGCAAGCTCAAGATATATTTTCGAAATTTTTATCAGACCGAAAACACTGCGGACAAAATTGAAGATTCAGAGTCAAGCTGGGCTACTGAAAATCATGGGGTACAAAAATATACAGTGCAGGGTCCAATAATTTTCATATTATATTTTAACGTCTTTAATTTTTTCGGAAAAGGACTTACCTGCTTTGAAGTCTACCACACAAAAAAAAATAGAGTCTATATCGCAATATGTGTCCGAGAATGAACTCATGATGATTAATGCAGACAAAGCAGATATAATAAGATTTGACAAAAACTCAGAAACATACGGTTCTATGTTCTTGAAAAAAGGGAATTGAAAACCAAAGATTCAGTATGATATCTCGGCCTTACATAGGACAAAAAAATTGAGTTTTGTAAGCCAAGTTAAAAAGTGTCTCAGCAAAACGGCAAATAGAATTAGGTCATTTTACGTTTAATACTGGCCAGTGTTATTTTATCGAATTCCTCAGTTTTTTCTTTTTTAGTTATAGTGGAATTTTGTTTCAGTAAATTAAAACAAAAAATGTCGATAGTTTGAATCGACAAATGAACTGGAGAGTGTAAGTTTACATCGTGAGAAAAAAGTTTGCAAATTTCGTGATATACATTTGAATAACAAAATACTTCCTGAAAAAATAGTCCTAACAAAAATTTGTTAGCCGAAGAGTTTTTGTCTGTATCCTGAAAACACAAATCACTTAATTGGAGAAAACAAAAAAAATCAGGCAAAAAAAGCAACAAGACTGCTCGTATCAGGGCGAAGCCCTGAATGTTCCGACTGCCTTTTAAGGTTTATGGAGCAGCAGTAATAAAATAAAAAATTAAATGAAATAAAATAAAATGAAATGTTTTTTTTTATATTTGAAATTTTTTATGAAAAATCATCCCATCACACGCCATATAAAGTACAAAAAGACCAATTTCGTTCCTCGTAACAAATCAATTATGGCGAATAAGCTTCTTTTAACCAATTTGGAACGATTTCTAAGACGATTAACTCTCCGCTTACGCGTTAATAGCGCGAATTATATCGCGCGTTAACTGTCCCAAATTGGTCAAAATGGCAATCTTAAAACCCTCATAACTTCACGAAAAAAGATCACTGGTGAAATATCTTTTCAAACTTAAGCTCAGGACAACAATGGCTTTCGAATGATATAAAAAAATTCCGTCAAAAATGGCTAGTTAAAAAGTCGAAATTTGTCTGAAGAAAAAAAAAACCCACCCCGAGCACAAATATTCCGTTACTTTCGTATCGAATGTCGGAACAATAACGTTAACCAATAGATCGAAAAAGTAAGCAATGGAAAAGTTTATTGAAAATACTCATCAGAATGATCTATTGTTACATATCTGCCAAGAAATGGAATGGTTTACAAAGAAAATTTGAAATGATACAAAAATAAAAATTAAAACTCGACATTAGTTAATTTTTATATATGTAATATATCTCACATGAACATATATCACACAAAAAATTTATAGCTTAGTTTTATAATATCGTGTAGAAGTCAGCCTCGATTGATTTAATAGTATTTGTTGATAAACAAATTTATAACATATATCTTGTTTTCCTTAACCTCGGTTTTTATATTAGAAAGTTTTTTGCGAATGTCAAAAAGTTTCAAAAAAGTTAGTGAACTGAAACCGAGATCGAAGCTATATAATTCGGAACGGTTAACTGGGAACTAATTAATTTGAGCGCAGGGTTGTGAATTGACATCGATGTATGTTAGACACAATTCAGCCGATGATGAAGATATAAATTATGACTACGAGTTTAGCTCAAATAGAGGCAAGGGAGGCTTGATGAACTTGTAAACAAATGTCAGAGTCAAATTGGTTCTCTTCAATTATTTCCCTAGGTTAGCTCTCTTCAATTTTCTTCACTAGGGTAGCTAGTAACTAAATGTCACCCCTGGTTTAGGAGGTTGGGGGAGGGGTTGGACGCCCCCCTCTCCTTTCTTCTAGGAATTCGACCTCCTGCCGACCCAAAGGTTCCCCCCTTTGTACTAATTTGAAATATCTATTTTTGGCTGACTGACCCTAAAATGTTCCTAAAGGCGACTTCGGCGTCAAGTTATACTAGTTTTGAGTGAGAAGCGCGCGCCGCAAAAAAACGCAATTCATAAGTCAAAATTATTCAAAAAGTGCCTCAAAACGCCTTTTTAGCCTGTTTCTTTTTTCAATTTCCTGCACCGCAGAAAATTTGGTCAAAATGGCATCTTTATAGTGATTTGGGAGAGCTCAGAAAATCAATTTGGTCTATCTAAAAATGTTGACAAAATTTCGAAATTTTATTAAAAATCCGCCCCTTCGAGAAAATTCTAGATCCGCTTCTGCCTATAAACAAATAATTTATAGATTAAGCGTATTTAAATTGAGATAATTAAAAAATCTGTAACTTAATTGAGATGAACAAATTTTGTTTGAAATACTTTAATCGCAAATTGCAAGGTTTCTGTTGAAACTTAGTGCTTTTTTAAACTGTACACCAAAAAAACTAATCGTACATTGGATCGCAATGTTACATTGCATTGGATCGTAATGTTTTGGGTAACTGAGCCGTATCTGCTTGTAATTGTTTCAAATCTTTCAACCGGACGTGCAAAAGCGTTAGTGTTCTCGTCACAACGGGCTTTGTCCTAACTAACAATGATCTCAAAATCATCAAAAACTAATTCGAGGAAATTGGACGAAACACCGCTGCACAATACTGCTGATAAAGCAATCAAATCACTTGTTAAAACTTTGCGCTTTGCAGGTATAACAATTTATATGCTGCAAGACAATTCTGGCCCAGTTAAAGCATACAATGTTGCACTAATCTCTATCTGCAAATGTGTTTGAAATTGAAAACAAAATAATTTAAATTGAAAAAAGTTAGCTGACTGTAAAGTCAAAAAGTTGTATGTAACTTTCAACCGGATTTGTATGAAAAATGAGATTAAAATCAAGGTCAAACTTTAAGCATTTTTTTTTCAAAAAAACTTCAGAAGCTGAAGTAACTAAATTGAAAATTCGCTTCGCAAACCAAATATATTTTAGGAATATATAGGTGTGATGATTCAACCAAAATAATTTATTGTTCCGACTTTTGATACGAAAGTAACGGAATATTTGTGCTCGGGTGGGTTTTTTTTTCTTCAGACAAATTTCGTCTTTTTAACTAGCCATTTTTGACGGAATTTTTTTTATATCATTTAAAAGGTATGCTTGTCCTGAGCTTAAATTTGAAAAGATATTTTACCTGTGATCATTTTTCGTAAAGTTATGAGGGTTTGAAGCTTGCCATTTTGGCCACTTTGACCAATTTGGGACAATTAACGCGCAATATAATTCGCGCTATTAACGCGTAAGCGAGAATTAATCCGTCTTATAAATCGTTCCAAATTGGTTGAAATAAGCTTATTTGCCATAATTGGTTTGTTACTAGGAGCAAAATCTATCCTTTTGTTTTTTATATGGCGTATGGGGGGATGATTTTCATAAAAAAAATTTCAAATTTAAGAAAAAAAACCTTAAATGGCAGTCGGAACATTCAGGGCTTCGCCCTGATACGAGCAGTCTTGTTACTTTTCAGGATTCATTCATTATTTTTGAAGTTTGATTTCATCTGCTTTTTTAGAGGTATAAGAAAGTAGATAGAAATTTCTCTCAAAGTTTTACAAAATTTTTCAATCATTTTTTTATGACATGAGTAATCACCAAGTTCCAAGACCTGATTGCAGAGATCAAAATCGCTTGACATTCCCGATTTGGAGGCAAAGGATGAACATCGCTCTGTAATTTGAGGCAAAGTTATTGTTGAGTTGATTATGCTGTTCTTGTCTGTTCGAAGCCATAAATTCAACAGACTCAGTAAAATACTTCAAACCAACGATGAGTCTCAGATTATGAATTATGAAGGTTGGAATCCCTCATTGGCGAAAAAACGAGTTGGCAAAAATCAAAATCAGCCAATCAGATTCCAGTATTCAAAATCTGAAAAGAAAGTGTGAAAATATTAAAGAAAGTAAACATTCCAGGGACTTAAAATTAAAATTGACCGAATAAAAAAACGGCCGAAATATTACAGTTACAATACATTACTGTTGCTAATTTCATTACACCCAAGCCCTTTACTGCCAATTTCAAGCCTTAGGGTTGACACAAACTTACAGAAAAGATCAAATCTTTCAAAATGTTTTGCGGAAAATTATAGCCATGGGGTTAATTCCTCATAAATTAGTAGCAGGCTACTCCGACCGATTCAGACAAAACCAAGAAATCCAGTCGCTTGCCATTTTTTTTTCCAAAAATTCACGATTTTTTACTTACTTCCAAAGCTTAAGGATGAAAAAAATTCAGCTCGGAATGTGGAATGTATACTACAGGCCCCACAATTTACGAATTATTAATATCTGCTAAAGCTGGCACTCGAGTTGGAATCGCGAAAATGCCCGGGGCAGTACAACAGTGCC